TAGTCATTATTATCTTCATAAAGACACAATAATGTCTAGGTCTATCCATAATTACAAATCCTTCTTAAAATATTAAACTATACCTTGATAATATCAATCGACTACTTCATTTTCATATTAGACATGCTGTGCGTTATTTTCCATTGCCTAGTATAAGCCAAACTTGCAATAACTAACCTCTTAGTTTGTATATTCGTACTTTCCTCAAAAGCTGTCAGATGGAACTCTAAAGGTATTTCAAATAAAGATACATTCCTTTAAAAAATGAGAATATCCTTTTTATTCAATTACTTATTTTAGATGCCTGGTGTAGGAAGTCCACGATATCGAAAACCTTTTGAATATTTTGTTTCATATTTCGACCCATTTAATGTATATATTTCCATAGGTGCGTATTTTTTCATTGTACTATCTTGTTTAATTGTTGTTAGCGCAAGACTTGAGCTGAAATAACTACTACAATTCAATGGTATGCAATTTACATTTTAAGGGTCGTTGTTAGGCCGATACGAGTCTTTAAAGGAGTTGCAAGACCGCCGTGCCAGTCAAGGCAGTGCCGTGGCCCAATCCTACCTGCCTTTCATTCTTTCTCCTGAGGCCTCATGCTGTCTCTCTCCAGTCACTGCTGTTCGGGCTGCTGCCCTTTCTTTCCTTTCCACTTTGCTCCGACAAGGCTTACTCCATCCAGCGCCCACTCTTGCTCACCTTATTTGCTTGCAGACTGACCCTGACCCGAGCCTTCGTGCTAAAGCTAGCAGCCAGCTGGCTGAGGTCGAACGTAAAACACCCGGTTTTGTCGCTGTAAGTCATTTTGCTTATTTTATTTACTAAATTACTGCTTAAGGACATTATATTTCAGACTGATAATTTATCAGTATACTCTATAGACGTAGCTCCTTAGCTTTGGATTCTTTCTGACATTCTCTATTATCATAAGTGGCTTACTTATTTCTAGCATCTAATATGCGAAATTTCGATTTTTTCCTGCATAAGGATGTTCGGACCGCTATGAAAGCGAGAATATCACCATGCATTACTACCATTTCTTACAATTACATATTAATATTCTCATGTGTTCTAGGTTTGATCCCCAGCAAATCATACATACTTTACAATTGATTATCTATATAGGATGAAGAAATTGTGCTAGTTTGTAGAAGTTTGATATTTTTTGTTCTGTGGTAGGTAGATTATTTTAATCGAAGATAGTTGTCTTTAGTATGGTCGCGGTCTCCTTTTGTTGCATATAGGTTGTTGGATCTTATTTTATTTACTTTGTCGTATTATTAGATAGGCATAGAAAAAAACATTTAGACCTGAGCCCATAGTATCTATGATAATTTCCAGTCGGATCGTGGATTTGGTACGATCCTAGGCGCTTCACTAGTATCGCCATTGAGCCTTATCATTTTTAGCATTACACTACAACTCGACAAAGAGACTAGTGAAGTAGATCCCTTGACCAATTATATATTGAACAGTTGTGGTACCTCTTCTGTCCTGGTGTATTCACTTATCCTCTATCCTCGTATCCCTATTACAATTTCTTGCTTATTAAAAACTAGTTCAAGTGTGCTTTTTTGAGCCGATTTGGTGAGACTTATTCAGACTCCAACCTGATTCCCTCACCCTCCTCATTCCTGGAAATGTTGGTCCAAGCCTGCCTTGTTAGTCCGGAATCTCATCAGATTTTCCTTCTCGCCCTATAGGATCATTCTCTTATCTGCTTGGTTTCGCTATTTAACTGAATCACTGGCACCATATCCGTGCTACTCGAGGCTTTACTATCTCAAGCCTTTGATAGCACGTATAATTCCTCTTCACTGAGATAGCTCCAGAAATCTGGATTTTCAACCTGAATGAAAATTCAACTTGACCCTACAGATTCCCTTATCACTGTTTGGCATGCGCAACGGTTAAATCTCATTATTAGGCCTTGCCTTCATGGGCCACATATATGCTCATACCTGTCTACTTTTCGCCAATTATCTTTGGTCTCCGCTGCATCTATTGTGCTTTTATCCATAATGCCAAGGGTCCTATGCCCAAGTCTCTTGTGTGCCAACCCCTAATTGTTATAGTTTTATTTCTTTCTTGCATACTCGGAGGAGATCAGGTACCAGGAAGGTCATCAAAAGGAAAACGACTAGATTAAAGAAATATTTTGAGCATGAGGAAAAAGAATAGCAAATAAAAGGCCACTGGAATAATTGGAAATCAAGAGGAAACTTGTTTTGTGAGTCTAATCAAAGCAAGTAAAAAAACTATGAAACTTGCTGGTTGGCATACAAGAGACTGGGGCACAATAAAGTCGTAGACTTGGCATCATGAATAGAAGTACGAGAGACGCATTGCTGATCATAGGATATACTTTTTTAGATGCTATCGGTTATTTGCCTGGTTCATTGCCACAAGTTCGTATTCTAGTGAGGAAGATGAGCAACTCTTCTGTAATATCTTGGGTTTGACTGAATATAGCAAGAATTTTAGACACAAGGCTTTCATATTTTAAATATTTTCAATTGCATATCTATCTTCTCTTTAATTTTATCGTTTTCGCCTTTTGCCTGTCTTTTAATACAGATGCGTGTTGTGCATGGTATCCGACTTAGCTTTCGGCTTCACAAACTGATTCGCTCTGCCTCATGCCCATCGTCAACTGAACGTCAATTAATTCGTGGTGTTCTCCTCTCACTTCCTTCCTTTTCTTCCAAAGCCAGTCTTATTTTGCCTCTGGTAGCACCCACTGGCTCCGAGGCCCCAGTCAACACACCCCTAACTTTCACACCTCCAGCCCAAACACACTCAATTCCCTTAGCCCTCAACCATGCCAGTTACTGTCTAATCCGAGACAATCGTCAGCAGCGGCGCTCCATAGTTCTCGGCTTACTTGGACTTTTTGACCTTCCAGCTGGATCGGTGAGGTCTCAAACTTTCGTTTTTTTATTTAGGATATTAGACAAGATTAGCCTTTCTTATTTTAGATGATTTATTATAAAGCGTTTCTTCAAATCTGTCAGGGGCATTGTTATAAACTTTTTTGGGTCGTTATTATAGCTTCAAGACTACTACTATTTATTTTCGGGGAGATCTTCATTTCGTATGAAAGTGCATGAAGACAATATTCTTCGGTTAATCTCACCATAAGACGACGGCTGAATCCCATTGTACTGCAGCCGTTTGGCTTTGCTATGACGCTCAGGTTGACGCAGTCCGCGAAGCATCCTGTCTCGCTTCGAGTAAAAACAGCCTGAGCTTTCGTCCATCATATGAGCTGGAATTCATTCTTGTAAAAGTCTTACGTTAACACTAGGTCATCAAGACTATCCTGCTCTATCTTATCTCTTATACTCGTTACCAAAATGAGAATGAACAGGCATAGATATATATGGGATAGTATGGCTAATTATCTTTCATACTGCTTTTGCTACTCTTGCTCGAGTGCGTCTGTGTGTGAGTGAGTGTGTTCATGTCTATACGCTATTGAAATTAATAGATTGTGAACACATTGAATGTCAGGAACGGTGGTAGTAGGGTGAGTAAGAAGTACTTATGTTTGATTGATAGGAAGAAAGGGGTTTGAGCCGCCATCCAAAAGAAGGCGACTCAACATGTCTGACCAGTGATGATTCTAACTTCACTCACACTCGTCCAACATGGTAGATTAAGCTCATCAACCAAACCAGACAGGAGATTACACAGCCCAAGTCATCTCTTTCCTTGGGTGGTTAAATGTTAATGACCCTAGACTGAAAGGTTATGACAAGTGGTTTCGTAACTTGACTAAAATGCTTACAAGCTCATCTCATTATATCAACCATACTTGCTTGCGGACTTACGCAGTCTCGGTCAGGGCTTTCTATTGGGTTTTTAGGCTTTGATGATCAGAGCCTGACATTAGCCTTTTGATAACTCTTATTTAGAACCATTATTGCGTATAGATGCTAAAACATACACATGCACACGCGCACACTAGCAAGGGTAGCAGGAGCATTATGAAAGATAATTAGCCAAACTATCCTATATCTATCTATGTCTGTTCATTCTGGTTTTTTTAATGAGTATATATAAGAGAAAAGAGATAAGATAGGGCCAGATAGTCTTATTGACCTAGTGTTAATGTGAGACTTTTACAAGGATGAGTTCCAGCTCCGATGACGTCCATCATATGATGGACGAATGCTCAGCTCGTTTTCACCCGAAGCGAAGCAGGATGCCTCGCGGAGTGTGTCAACATGAACGACGTAGTAGAGCCAAATAGCTGCACTACAATTGATTACAGCCGTCGTCTTCTGGTGAGATCAACCTACGAATGTCTTCTTCATGCAAAATGAAGTTCTCCCCAATAATGCGATCTCAGGAACTTTATCGAAACCCAGTTACTTTTCGTATTTACTAGTATTCATCATTCAGAAATAGTTTCTATTAGATCGGCAAAAAATAGGTAAGATATTTTTCATATTATTCTATCTTTACGGATCATGTAGATACTGATTAAATCCTATCAGAGTAAAAATTATACTCCGTTTTTTAAATTATGATATAAAATTAAACTCAATCTGAAAATCTATTCAGCCTGGTTAATTGTTAAGAATTCATAAAAATATATGAGTTCTTTTGATTTTTTTTTGATGTTTTTCATTTCGATTTATTTATTCAGTAACTAGCTATTGAAATGTAAACCTGCTTCTACTTTTCAATAAAGATTCATAAATATTTCCCACTTATATTTGCTTGATACTAGGCATACTATTCAGATAATTAATTGCTTTAGTCCAATGCAACATAATTTGTGTGGATTTTGGGAATTTTTAAAAGCTTCGCCTTTGAGTCACAGGGCAGATGTGAATTTCAGGAAAGGCCACGCATTTTCCCACATCACACCTTGTGTTGGGATTGTCGACTAAGCAAACTTATATTTATTATAACAATCAATAACAATCAAGTTTTTTTGTTTTGAGTCGGTTTTCGAGATTATTGGTAAATCATATATATGAGATATATCACCAAAGCCTACTTAAAGCGAAAAAAAGTGCCGTCTTAGATTGCTATAGCAAATATAAGTTTGCTTTATCGACAATCCCACTACAGAATGTGATACGGAAAATGCCTAACATTCCTTGAAATTCACATCCGCCCTGTGACCCAAGGGCACTTGTGGAAAAGTGGTGTAGCGGTGAACATTCCGAGATTATACACTGCATTGTTATGATTCGAGTCTCGCTGGGTTTGTTGCTAGGGTATAAGCGAGGTTGATACTGCAGTCCACCCCGGATCAGAATTCCTTTTGAGAAAGCAAGCTTGTGTGAAATTCAACGGAAACACAAGATCTACTTATAATACTATGAAAAAATTCAATATTTAGTCCTTAATCGCCTTGAACGAATCCAGGTGAGCACATCTCATCTATTTTTTTATTATAACCTAAATTTGCTCCAACGCAAATATGTTGTAGTTTTCGCCAATTTGACTGACTGAATTATACTTTCCTTTTTTCATTATAACTTTTTCCAGTTATGGCATTCTCGAAGCTTAAGTCAGATTTATTCACGATGGAATGTGTCTAAATTTCTTTTTAAAACTCAGGTTTTGGCTTTCTCTTAAAAAAACAATCATATTCCAAGTTTTCTGATTCATCATACTCTGTGTTTCTCTTGCTTTGCGGCCTATCGTTTTTCTAACTTGGACGTGATTTAGTTTTTATTTCCAATTTTCCGGTCGGACCTTTACCACGTATTTCAAATATTTACCTCAGTAATATTTTAAACTCACAACTCTTGGTACTGCCTTTTTTGATCATATGTTTTTTATCTAAGTTCTTTTTTTAATACATCTAAGCCATCGGTTTATATGATGCTATGCACATGATACTGGGACATATTTTATTCAATTGCATTTCAAATTTGATCTTCAATTTACTGGTACAGCATTCCTTAATACCACAATATCTGTATATGCTTTTTGATTATATCATTTTAATGCGACCTCTAAAAAGTGAGCGTCTTGATTATAATATTTTTGTTAACTCTTACTAATGAAATCAGTTTCTTACTTATATTTGCGAAGAGCTAGTTTTTTAGTTTTATTTAATTAGTAAGGAAGTAATCTTTTTATTTAAAATCTTAGAGCATGTACACTTATGATAAGTAATTAGGTTTGTGAACAGCCACTTATATTGCCGTGGTTTCTCGTAAACAATAGTTTCTCATTCTAACTAGACCTATCATATGACTAACGAAAGTTTCTAACGTAGTCGCAGGACAATGAGTCGGGGGTTTATTTCCATATCTGATAGTCTACTCCTCGGCGGTCTTACGTTAGTTTCTGGTGCTGTCAATTTCTAGCCAACTA